ATGCAGATTAAAAAAAAATTCGCCATACATTACCGTCTCGATGATGGTGGGTGAGGTTTTCCGGGTTTTCCTCACCTGTAAGTCAAATGGCACCATCAATCATCTTTAAGTCGCCCCGGAGCGCCACGGCAAATAATAATAATAGCCGTCCTTTCCCCTACACAAGTCGTTCAGTCGACTTCAGGGGTTGAAATTCACTCGTAAGGGGGTGAATTAGGGAGAGTATTATTATTATTATTATTATTATGTAACACATTTCTATGATCTCTTATATATATTTTTCTATTTTTGTAAATTTCAATTATACTTGCGGCTATATTCGCGTCTATACCTAACGAAAATATTTTTTTATGAAGCAAATCCAAGTTTACAGAATCATATGCTCCTTTTATGTCCAAAAATAAACATACAACATATTCATTTTTTGTAAAAGCGTTTTGTACATCATTTACCAAATGTGCAACTGCATCAATTGTTCCGCGGCCTCGTCTGAATCCATATTGTGTATTAGGTAAAAGAGAGTAGTATTCTAAATACCATTCTAGGCGAGTTTTTATCATTTTTTCTAGTGTCTTTGTTAAACAAGATAAAAGAGAAATAGGCCGATAAGAAGTAACAAGGGTGGGATTTTTTAACGGTTTCAATAAAACACAGATCACTATTTCTTTCATCTGTTCCACAAATTCACATTTCAACCACCAGTTATTTAAAATATTTAAAAGATATGTCTTTGCAAAAGTGGGCATATAATTTATTATACTATATGTAAAACTGTCGAGTCCCGGAGCTGTGCTTTTTGAGGTTTTCATAGTCATAAGCATTTCATTATAAGAAAAAGGTTGGTTAATTGTGTTGTTATTTTTAAATCTGAAATTATTTACATAATTATTTTTTTTAGGTGCTGAAGCTGGTGCAAAATAATTTAACAAAGCTTCGATCATATCGTTATTTAGTATTGTTTTTTTAAATTCTACTGAACTATTTTTTATAGCCTTCATATATTTCCAAATTTCAGATACAGGAGTGCTTTTATTTAGTTTATCTAAAAATTCTTTCCATTTATTGCGTTTTTTTTTGTTAAACATTAATTTAGTTTTCGCATCTATACTTTTATATTTTAGATAGTTGTCAAAATTGGAAAGAGTTTTATACTCAATAAAAGCATTTTTTCTCGAGTTGAATATTTTAGAACAATCTTCGTCCCACCATAAAGGTTGCATTTTAGTTGGTGTAAACGGTTTTTTTTTGGGCATGGAAACAACAGCTCCTTTACAAATAGCGTTGTACAAAATAGCAAACTTTTCTGAATTGTTCATATGTTCATAGTTAGATGATGTTAAGTCTAATTCATTTTGAATAATGCTAGAATACAGGTTCCAATCCGATTTTTTACTATTCCATTTGGTTGTAGGTGTAATAGAAAAGGTATTAGCGTCGTTGTGATAATAATCAATTATTATTGGTAAGTGATCTGAACCCAGTGGTACAGGTAAAACATTCCAGGTAATTTTATCTACAATGTCCGTTGTTGCTATCGTTAAATCAACAGCTGAAGGGTTTTCGTTTGGCCTACTTATTCTTGTGGGATTTCCATTATTAATTACAATCAATTCTGTAGTATCTAAGGCTTCAACCAAATTTGTGCCTTGAGCATCATTTGTAATGGATCCCCACAGGGTGTGGTGACTATTAAAGTCGCCGGCATAAATAGTTTTATTTTTATTAAAATGTCTAAATAGGTATTCCCAGTCTTTTTGAAAAACTTTATTATCTGGTGCTTTATAAATAGAAATTAAAGAGAGATTTAAGTCAGTTAGTTGTATAGCACATAATTCAATATGTTGGTTAATGTTTGCATTAGCATTTAATTCTATATATGTTAACGGGTGTTTGATAAATATGGCAACACCGCCATATCCATCAGCCCTATTTTTCTTAACTAAATTGTATCCTTGAAGATTAAATATTTTTTTTGAATCTAACCATGTTTCTGATATCATAATGATATCTGAAGGGTAATCAACTAGAAAATTCATGAGATTTGCTTTTTTATTATTAATGGAACCTGCATTCCATTGTAAAATACGTAATTTAGTATTCAGATCGTTCGCCATCACTAATTTCTATAGGATCATGATCCATATTGTCAGGGTTATTAGTGCTTTTGTCAATTGCTAGAGAAGTGATGAAGTTTTCAATTTCTGTGATATTTAGGGGATTTTTGGTAATAGAGCGAACGAACTTGGAAATTTCAAATATCATTTTTTCCTTAAATTCCATAAATTCATCCCTGTAGGGGTTGGGGGTTACTGGTTTTGAAAGAGGTTTAGATATAGGGGTGCTACTAACAGATGTAGGAGTTTCGGGCGGAGAAGAAGGTTTTTTTCGTTTAAGTGTGTTAGAAACAGGTTGAGATTTGGTGAGCGGTGGTGGTTTGGGTTTTCGAACATAGGTTCCTGCATTCGTATTTGGTAGTTCGGGGTAATTATTAATATAACGTAAAAGATCAAATCTGTTGTTAGTGACAATTTTTGCATAACTAGGATTTTCTATAACTTTTTCCTCATCTTTAAATGAAATATTATTTGATGCCATATACTTTTTGATGTTTTGTTGTTTTTTATAAGCGGGACAATTTTTTGATACACTAGAATGATCACTACTTTTACAAAATACGCAAAATATATCTTTTTCACATGATGTCGTTTCATGTTCCTCGGTACACTTTTGGCACCTAGTATTTCCTCGGCATTGAGATATTGTATGTCCGTAGCGCAAGCATTTGTAGCACTGCACCACGGGATACACATATGGCTCAACTACAAAATTACACATGTTAATTTTTATATTTTCAGGTAGGGTATTGCCAATAAATGTTACAATTATAATTTGCCTATCAACATATTCGACTGTTTTATCAGGTTGGACTTTTTTACGTTTCATTCTCCTAATTTCTACTACTTCTTTTTCAGAGACAATATTTTCTAGGATTGTTTTTTCTGTGAAGAAGGTATCTACATTTCGAACTATTCCTTTTTTTTGAGTAAAGAATTTTGGAATGTAAGCAATTAAATTGTTTTGTAAAATGGTTTTATGATTTATCAATGTATTTGCTATATTAAATGATTTAAAGATAACTTTTACCCTGTTTTTCCCTATAGTTTGAATGTCAAGTATATCTTTTTTGAATTCATCAGTTTGTTGTAGGTAGTGTCCTACCCTAACTGGAAATAATCTTCCTAAATTTTTGTCTTCATGTTCTACATATACTAGGTATGGCCCGCGATCGGCAAAGTTGTATTTATTACCAAAATCATAAGGAATTGGTTTATTCGTAGTATTAGGTATATCTGTATTTACCTGGGGCGGCCCTGCTGGGCCGCCCTCGATATTATCCATCACCAAAATAAGCTAATAAAGTTGTTGTAATAATCACTTTCTCGAAAAATTTGGTATCGTTAAAAATAACACAATATTTAAACACTTTTTGTCGTTTTGACTTATCAACACTGGCAAAAAGACGTTTGACCACGATGAGCGTACACTCAAGACTGCCATTATATGTGTATTAATAAATGATCAAAAATCTCCTAAATTAGTTATTAAATATTTTATATTGTTTCGACTTATTTCATTGGTACTGCAGCACCATTGAATATCAGTGGTGGCTGCACCGAGCATATAGGGTTGCCAGATGACAGCTATTCCGATTTAGGTGGGAGCCTTCAAGCCTCCAGCCTACCGAGTTTTGATACTCCGTCTGCCGCTTCAATCCTCAAAACTCCAGCAATTGGACATGTGACAATACCTTTTTTTTTTTCAAGAATATTTTCATAAAATTAACGCTTTAAAATAGCTTTTAAAGTGCTTTTAAAAAACCGGTGGTGAGGTGTGGAGGGCGGAGAGGGGATTGCCCCCATTTACCGTATAGAAGCCGGGCACCCAAAGCAATTTTTGAGTTCCGGCGCCTATGAAGGTATTCTATATTTAACGTTAAATTATCTTTGCCACTATTCAATAATTATTTATTGGTATAAGAATAATTTACTAATTTATAAAAGGAATATCACTTTAAAAACTGTTTTAAGACTGTTTTAGATTATACAAGTTTTTGATACAATTTCTTGTACAATTTAAATTGTATATTATCAAACCTGCAGTAAATTGTCTGAAAAATTAGATTGGATAATCATTTCTCAAACAATTTACTATGTGATCCTATACAATTTAAATTCTATAAGAAATTGTATCAAATCTTGTACAAGAAATTGTATAGTCAAAACAGTCTTAAGACGGATGCCCTACTCCACTGGTTCAAATGAAAACAACATATCTTAACCTAAAAATACTTACCGATTAAAGGATAAATTTCGATTTAAATGATCTACCTTATTGAACACTACACATGCATATTCTTTATATTTCTCACAAAAGTTCACAAAAATAGTATTTTATAAATGAATATATCAATAAGTCACACAGAAACTGTCAGAAACACAAAATAGCTATTAGACCCGATTGGCAACGTTGCGGCTGGTTACGGTAACTACATTTCATTCTAACCCTAATATTTTGTTTGGATTAATATTGATTTTTAATAAAAAAATTAGCTTCTATTAAAACTTTAAAGAATAATTTGATTAAAAACATATTTTTATTTATATAATATAAAATTATAGTTATAGAATACATCAAATTTTATTTTTCGAAAGTAATTTCTTCAAATAATTTTTACAGACTGACAAAACCGGCAAAGACGCAATAAACGAGAAACTGGTGGGAATAATGATTTGCCACATAAAAATGTAAACAATTTGGTCTCTTAGTTGTAATGTCTTTGATTATACCAATCCAACAGAGGCGTCTTCTCGGTGATCTAATTACTCTTTTCCGTAATTTTGGCAATTTAAATCAAGGTTTTCCTTTAAATAGCTAGCCCGGCAACAGGTTTAACGTATAAGTATATAGCGCGTCTACTTTTTTAAGGTCTAGTGGCTTGATCTTATATGGAGAAAGTGCAAAGTGGTCGTCCCGGTCTGACGTTGTCAGAGCAATATATATTTAAAAAGTTGATTTTGACGTGTTTTCTGTATCACATTTGAGGCATTTAATGCCCGACAAAAGTAAAACCGAAACGAATGTAATACCGAGGCAATCGTGGTCTCAAGAAAGTATTACAAAAGAAAAAATCATCTTAAGAAAATTTATTAATCCGGCCATCTATGTGGAAAAAGAAATGCTTCCTGCAAGAAAAACTAGTCCGTTGTCTGTAAATGGAAGTGATGAGGGTTATCAAAGCATTGATAAAAGGCGTCCAACAACTACTGTGCCAGAATCCATAAAGAAAAACTCATTCTCTGAATCAAGCAGTAAGCGACGCTTAAATAAAGTCAGATTGATAAAGAAATGCACTTGCAGCAAGTCTAAATGTAATTGTCAATGTCACCCATCAGATAAAAGACAATCATCGTCAGATTTTTGGGAAGTAAGCTCCACAAGTTCTACCTCAAGCACGGAAACCCAAATTACAGTGAAAATACAAACTTTGCCTACGGAAATTCCACCTTTTGAAGTAAATAATATGTCGATAGGATCATTAACGTCCCTCAGTAATGAAAGTACCATCTTAGATCCAATAGAGAAAGAAGAAAGAATCAAACAATGGCTTAAGAGAAAAGAACAAGAGCAAAAACTTAGGAAGCTCGAAGAAGAAAAAATTCAGAAACAGAAGGAAGAACAGCTAGCAATGCAGAAGGAACAAAAGAACGAAATTTACAAACAATGGTTGGAAAAGAAAAAGCAAGAAGAGAAGCATAAGAAGAATAAAGAAAAAGAGGAAGGAGAAAAGAAAAAACTGGACGAGGAAAGATTGAAGAAGCAATCGGAAGGCGAACAGATGTTTCAATCGTGGTTGAAGATTAAGAAGAAGGAAAAAATAGGTGAGTATTAGTTTTAGTCAAGTAAAATACAATATGATCTTGTATAACGCTAAACATATTCTAATTAGGTACCATAAAAGTAACAAACAAAATAATTAGGAACATCTCAAATGTTAATTTTTTCCTGGACTTGTCTGATTTTGCCTTAGATATAATTGCAGCTTATTAAAATTCGTTTGTTAAAGAACAGTCCAGGTACCTCATCAATAGCGCCCCGCCTACGACCGTTTAATTGGTGGATCACATCATTGGTATTATTCTACCAACGCCAATGGCAAAACAAATTCATAGGCATGCATTTGTTTATTATTTTTAATAATAATTTGTTTTGCTTCTACACTGTGTATACATTCTTTCGAAATAAAGATGAAATGATGAGATGCTTAATTATTATAGTTGTACGTAAGCCAAATAAAGAGAGCCTCTCGTAAATCGGCTGCCTATCTGCCGTGATTGGACAGATGTATACACCTTTACAACACTGGGCTAGCGCGCACTGTTCTACCTCTGTCTAGTCAATGGCATCGCTTCTATATAGTGTTTTCCTGGCATATTTATAAGCCGCTGCTTTTCTGTATGTCCAGTCAAAAGGTCTATGAAGTACCATTTTATTCAATCATTAAGGGATAGTGTTGTACTTTTTGGTTAAGTAGCTGTCATTTTTTAGTTTGATGGCAAATATAATTAATTTAACAAAAACACATATCTTATTGTTTTTCAAATCAAATGTTTAATACAAATTTTAAATTAAATAATTAGCTACAAAAAATGACTTATGTAACTTAGTATTAAATGGACCAAGGTACAATATGGCCATGTACCTCGAACCAGACAGCATTGTACCTTGGACCATAAAAAAAGAAATAAATACAAAGTAAAATCTATATCTATTCTACTTTATAAGGTCCAAAATTCACTCCAAAACATAAAATACTTGCATTCCTAGCTATGCCACCTACTTTACTAGGTGGAGGCAATTTAGCAATGATATCCTCTAAGAAAAAACTATATGTGGCTGGTGCGTCATTTATGAATTTGTGTCTTTAAACCTTCGCAGGTATCTCACTTCGTTTTCGTTATTATCTTCACAACGCATAATTTCGCTTATGTAATAATGATGATTTTTGTTACCATGAACTTTCACTAGGACATAATCCCCACTTTTTAATTCCCCATCTTTAAAGTTTCGTTCTAAAACATTTTTTTCTGCTCCTCTCTTTACATTTTCTCTTCATGTATTAAATTACGGCAAATAATAATAATAGCCGTCCCTTCCCCTACACAAGTCGTTCAGTCGACTTCAGGGGTTTAAATTCACTCGTAAGGGGGTGAATTAGGGAGAGTATTATTATTATTATTATATTATTAATCTTCACTAGATTCACTGTTAGCAGATATAATAATCTTTATTCAGCATTTTTGTTTTTTGGTTACATCATAGTTGTAGGTACATTTTAAATAATTTTAAATTAATAGAGTAATTGACATAGGTACCTTATTCATTAAAAGTATTTGCTGCCCATTTATGACCATGTGGTTGCGCATGGGCTACCGAATTACTAACTATTTTTTGAAACCATTTTTTTCAAACAATTTTTTTTTAAATATATGTAGGTTACATTATAAAGTTTGACTTGGTATAAGTTCATAAAATCTAATTAAATTAATTAAAGAATACATATTAAATTATAATTACTGAACAATAACAATATAAAATTAGCTAAAAAAACATAATTTAAAATACATATGAAATATAAATAATAGTACAAAATAAAAATATCAAGTAAAAAGTGTACAATTACAACTAAATTATAATATATATAAGTTCGAATACTTGTATATTTAATCAATTATTTCTCTTTGGGATTTTCTATCCGAATTAATAAGAAATTTTTTGATGATAGATTTAAAGAGTTCAACGGAATTTATGATTTATAAATATGCCTTGTACATATCTGGAAGATAATTAAAGGTTTTTGCACTTAACTAAATATAAAAACGTTCTGCTGTTGTCAAAATTGGGTAGTATCCGGATACTTCTGTATCCGGATACTTTATGTGTATCCGAAAGCTGTATCCGGATACTTTTTGAATTTTGTATCTGGTATCCGTATCCGTGACCAAATTTGTATGTATCCGGATACCGGATACTTTTTTCGGCATTCGGATACTTTTAAATTATTTACCACAATCGTCAGTGATTCAATACATATTATCTCTAGATATAAATATCGCACATCCGGTGCAACAATGCAAAAATATTTTTTTTTCTAGGAGAGCTATTCGAAAGTTTTGCTTTTAAGGAATATGTGCCCTGCCCCCTGCTGTAATATTTTATTTATTTCTCAAGCGATTTAAATACAAGTTTGGAAGAACATTTTATAGGAAATTTTTTATTCATTTTTATTTATAAAACTTACAATTTTTTAATAGTTGATTTAAATAGACAATTTTTTTTATTTATACCACTTTTTAAACACTGATTTTATAACCTTATTTTATACGTTAAGAGGAAGTAATACCCTTAAAAAATACTTGATTTATATTTCTCAAGCGATTTAAATGAATTTATTTATGCCTAGTATTGTTTATTGTTACTCGTAATCAATCTTATCTCATAATTATAACTATTGGTATGAAAACATTATTTTAATTCACTTTAAAAGTATCCGTAAAAGTATTCTTTAAAGTATCGGAAAAAATTATCTGGATTCTTGTATCCGAGTACTTTTTAGGTGAAAGTATCCTAAAAAGTATCCGGATACATTGTAAGTATCTGTATCCGGTAATCGGATACTTTTTTCCTGTATCCGACCCAACTCTGGCTGTTGTTTTATTTACAAGGTGGGTACCAACTTTTCCTTTATCCTTGCTTCTTGTATCATAGTTATGGGTAATTTTGTTTAATAATTGTTTATTTTTGTAGATTAGAAATTATAACTGAGTATATGTATAATTGTCGTATATCCATTGTTTTTACTTCCTCGAAGAATGCATCTGTTGGGTTTCTAACTTTTTGTTGTGTATTATTTTTAGAATTCTCTTTTGTAATATTTCAAGTTTGGTTAGGTGATTTTTGGTTGTAGCACCCCAACAGACGATTGCGTATTGTACACGACTTTGGACTAAAGCATAATAAATAGTTCTTATGAGTAACTTGTAAAATATTTTTGAGGTATTAAAATTTAAATAAAAGAAGTCTTAAGGTATTTGGTAATTTATTTATATGTGCGTCCCAACGTAAATTACAATCTAGGGTAACTCCTAATTATTTTATTTCATTTTTTTTCAATGTTATTTTCTTTTTATTATAAGTTAAGCTAATGTCTTTAAATTGAGGTAGATTATTAGAGAAGCTGACAAATGGTAAAAAGAAAGTTTTGCTGTAGTTTATGGTTAATTTTTTATTTGAACACCAGTCTATTTTATTTTCTTAAAATCTCTTAGTTTTCCGTTTTAGATCGTTCCAAATTTTTGCTTCATAAAAAATCGCAGTGTCATCTGCAAAACTTACTAATTTCCCCTGTGGTCTGTAAATTATATAAATTGTTTACATATAATGTAAATAAAGTGAGACCTAATATAGTTCCTTGAGGAACACCGCTTTCTATTGGCCTTTCATCACTGATTTCTTTATTGATTTTAACTCTTTGAAATCTATTGTTTAGAATATTAAAAAGGTCAAAAGTTTTCCCACGTATCCCTATATCTTCCAATGTCTCTAACAACTGTCTATGATCTACAGTGTGTTTTTTTGCAATCAACAGAACTATAAACTTTTTTCAACAACTCACAGATCGCAACTCGAATTGTTTGTTTGAGATTATCTTATATTTATTGAGGTAATCTTTTAAACGTAAATTTAAGTTTTTTTCTGCTATTTTTGTAAAAGTTGTTATTAAACTAATAGGTCTGTAGTTTGTAAACATACTCTTTTTTCTTTTTTTAAAGACTGGTACTACTAAAGATTTTTTTAATTAGGCTGGGAACTCACCTTTATCAAACATTTTATTAATTAGATCCATAAAAAGTGGTGTTAATGTATCAGAATTTTATTTGACTAATTCTGACGAAATATCTATTCCAGGTGATTTTTTGTTCAAAAGTGAATTAATTTATTTCTGTTTCGGTTACTGGTAGTAGCGCAAAAGAGTTTTTGTGAATATTTCTGACCGGAGATGACGAGTTTGGGCATCTATTTTATTTGCAAGTGATGTGCCTATTTCTGAAAAAAAAATGATTAAATCTTTCTGCTATATATTTTGCGTCTGTAATATTTTTTCCTTTATCTGTAGTTATTTTACGTATTTCTCTACGTATTACTTCTACTATCAACTTGTATTTGTTTCAAAGTGTCCTATAACCTTTTCGAACTATTTTTATTTTCATTTTTTTTGTGTACAAATCTTTTTTAACTTGTTTAATTAATTTATCTGTAAGTGTTCTATAATTTAAATATCGCATTCTTTTTCAACATTCTCAAAATCCTTTTTGTGAATACTGTATAAACGGTTTCTTTCTTTTATTGACTTTATAATTCCTTCTGTTATCCATTGTTTTCTTTTTTAGGGTGGTCTTTTTGTTTTATTACTTTTGTATTGTTTTCTAAAAGTGAATTTAGAGTTTCTGTTAAGTACTTAACTTTTTCATTTACATTTTCTATACAGTAATTAGTTTCCCAATTTTGATTACTTAATTCTAGTTTTAATTTATCGTAATTAATTTTTTCAACAAATGACGTTTTTTGACACACATCAACTTTTATTTTTGCATCAAAAATTACCTCCGTATAATTGTCTAAGGTAGGTGCATTGTAACTATAAAAAATGTGATCTAAACAACTTTTTGAGGGTCCCTATATTTATTTATCAGAGATACAAAATTAAATTCTTCCAGCGTGTCTAAATAAGAGGAGACAAAATCAGAATTTTGTTTTATATTTATAATATATTAATGTCTCCTACAAAGATATGTTTATGATTTTTTAGGTTATTTTTTGT